CCCCCTCTCTGACATTATATATATATATATAATATAGATATGTATGATATAGATATATATATATATATATATATATATATATATATATATATATATATCCATATCATCGTCTGCTGTGTGCATGGCTTTGACTTTGAGCGTTCACGAATAACAAACACCGACAACTATTCCAACTCGTGTCTGTCAGTCGAGGTAAGATCTAAACAATGCAACATGCTGTGACAAGACTGGGATGATGCGATCTGCAAACTGGTTAATTAGTATTTATTGCAATATGTAAGAATATATTGTAGTATTCTGTGCACTGCCTACTTTAACGAAAACTTTCCAGTTTTTCGAAAGAAAAAAAAAATTTTTTCCGAACTACCTCTGGTCCCAATTCGGATAATCAACGGTCTCATGAAAAAAACTTTAATAAGCGACGGTTTCATTTGACAATCATTAAAATGAAAAAAAAAAAAAAGAAAAAGTTACAAGGGAGAGCACTGAATAATAATGACATACTTACAAAAGCACAGTTGCAACCCTTGAAAAGGGCCCACAATGAAATGCGAGACATATCCAGACTGTAGGATAACGTGCAGCCAAATCGGGATATTTAAAGATGACAAATTTATTATGGCTTTATCATTGAAGGTTTATTATGATTACATCATTTGATCTTTATTATGATTACAACATTGGATCTTTATAGTTGTAGCATCATTAAAGCTTTATTATGGTTAAATCATGAACTCTTTATAATGGCTATATCATTGAATCTTTATTATGATTACATCATTGAATCTTTATTATGGTTATATCACTGAATATTTATTATGGTTACATCATTGAATCTTTATTTTGGTTATATCACTGAATATTAATTATGGTTATATCATGGAATCTTTATTATGGTTACATCATTAAATCTTTATTATGGTTACATCATTGAATTTTTATAATGGTTATATTATTGAATGTTTATAATGGCTATATCATTAAATCTTTATTATGATTACATTATTGAATCTTTATAACTGTTATATCATGGACTCTTTATTATCTTTACATCATAAAATCTTTATTAAGGTTACATCATTAAATCTTTATTAGGGTTAAATCTTTATAATTGTTATATCATTGAATCTTTATTATGGTTATATCATGGAATCTTTATTATTGTTACATCATGGAATCTTTATTAATGCTAGAAAGACTTTGCCATTGTATGCTTGTAATTAGTTTTTGTAGTGTTGTGTTTGTTTTAAATGTGGTAAATTAAAGATTTGTTTTTTGTTGACTTTGTACCGCGCTTCGAGCCTTTGGGGATGAAGCGTGTTTTTGAAATGAACTTTATTATTATTATGGTTATATCATTGAATCTTTATTATGGTTATATAATCAGTATGTGTTAATCACTGCTTACTTTGCTAACATTATTCAACCACAAAGCATTTTTTAAAAACAAACTCAGCTGTCTCATATATATAAAGCTAATTCCAATATACCGTAATATCCTTGCTACATTGAAGGAACTGATATATAGAGACACACTGCTGTGATGTAGACTTAGTCTGCTGTGATACAGACCTGCTTACCTGTGACACCGACCTACACAGTTGTTATGCAGACATAGTCTGCTTTCCTACACACATGCTCAGCTGTGATACATACGCCCACACAATACAGACCTGCTCTGCTGCATTCAATGTGGGCACTTAACATATAACTCTTTATTTCTTATGCACCATTTGTGAACAGAATAAAAGACTCACTTGGATATGTCAAATAATTTTTTTTTTTTTAAATTAAAAAATAAATAAAATCATGTTGGTTCAAAAATCAAAGAAATAAAAAAAACAGACAATATTGCAGTATCCTTGTTATTCTACCCATTGTTACTCTCGCATTGTACCACAATTATTCTACCATTGTACCGTTGTTATTCTACAATTTTTATTTTACAGTTGTACCGCTGTTAACATGCAGTTGTTATTCTACAGTTGCTATTCTACAGTTGTGATTCTACAGTTGTTATTCTAAAGTTGTTCTACAGTTGTTATTCTACACTTGTTATTCTATAGTTGTTATTCTACAATTTTTACTCTATTGTTGTACCATTGGTATGCTACCATTGTACCGTTGTTATTCTACACTTGTTATTCTACACTTGTTATTCTACACTTGTTATCAACAAACCATGTCTTAATCATTACTTAGAAATTTCCTTGAAATTCATAAACTACAAGTCTTAGTGTCATGACCTGACATAAAAAAAGTCAGTTATTGCATCGTCTTCCCATCCTCCCCCAAACAAACTTTTAAAACACCAATCAGTAGACATCATAAACACACACAGCAGACGCAGACATATTTCTTAAAGCTGCATTGTTTTAAGAAAATTCACTCATCGAGTTCATTAAAAGGAAATTTACAAAATGTTGGCACTCATAAAACTGTAATAGATGGAACTTAAAACTGAAACTGTCAATCAAAAACATCAAGGTCAAAGTCTCTTAATCTTACAGGTGACCTATTTTTTTAAAATATTACTGGCAAATGAATACTTAGGTCCCGATTCTCCTAGGATTTAATGTTATCACCCTGTGCTTGTAACTAGATAGTGTCTGGTTTGAGTGTTACACCAAATATTAGGATATAGGATATAGGGTTGAATGTATTTGGTGCATAGATCTAAAACTTTGTTTCTACTTCCTCAATAGGACATTTTTTTTTTTTTGTGGTTGTCAATTTCTTTGCGTTGTAATGAAAATATAAATATTTTGTTTCTCTTTATAAAGGCTTTCTCCCTCTTAATTCTGTTTAAAACTAAACTCATATAAATTGCATATTCTATTTTCAACAAAATGAACATCAACATACTGAATAAATATAAAATTATCTTAACATCAATCTGAAAGAATTTGTAGCAATAACAACAAAAAAAGATAACATTGGAAAAAGAAAAGAAGCAATGATTAAAACTTGCATTGAGCAGCATTTGTTATAAATATATCAGGTAACAAAATGAGTATCTTTTATACATGACTTTTTGTATCTTCAGCTCATTGAAACCAAACCATCTCATGGATTCTTCGATCACTGCAATCCAACAAATTTAGTAATGGGTGGGGCGTCCACCATCAACATTTTGTAGTTGGACACAAAGTGAGCCACCCTGCTGGTGTAGGTGTCCTCATGGTAGGGCAGATCATGCTCCACGCAGAACTTCTTCACTACGGGCTGCACCTTGAGACACATGTTGTCGGAGAGCCGCGGGAAGAGATGGTGCTCCGTGTGGCAACTGATGATGCCGTGCCCGAAACAGTAGTCGAGAATGGGGTTTCTAGGCAAGTTGAGGACCCCTGTCGTCATCTGGTAGATCTTCTTAGGCCGGTGCTGCGGGGAGTACATCGGCAGGCCAATGTGCTGGAAGATGTTGACGTGAATGTATGGTATTGCCAGGACGTTCCTATTGGCCAAGACAACGATCAACGCCCACGACAGGGTAAGCCCGGAAACAGAGGTCAGGAGGTACAGCTGAAGGGCCAACCCCAGGTAAGCCAGTATCAGATGCCGAACTATTTTCACCGGAGAGTCTGACAATATTTCCCTGAGCGCCACCAACGGCGTCAAGATGGGCATCAGGAGTGGCGTCACAAACATGTACAACATACTTGGGACGAAGGGGGCTCTGAATGTGCTGGAGTCCCCCAAGCCGATGATGTTGGTGTGCGGGTGATGACATTTGATATGGATATTGTAACCCACATCAGCTGAAAATGTCCCGATGATATCGGTGAACAGGAAACTCCAGAATCGGTTCCAGGCGTGGGACGAGCACATGGCACTGTGGGCCGCCATGTGGGACGCTTTCACCGTCAGAGAGGAGTGGCACAGGCCAAGGGTGGCTACACCCAACACGAAGATGTATGGGCTCGAGGATGCCAAGAGGAAAAAGCTGGCCACCCAGCCAGCAAAGCTTAACACATGGATGCAGCAGTCGATGCCGTAACGTTCCCACCAAGAGCTGGACTGGACTATGGCGGATACCTGAAATACAAGTACACTTTTAGCCTTGGAAACTTAAGCCACTAAATGTAAGCCATATGAAGTGCAGACATAATCCTGTTTGTAAGTTATTACACACATGTTTTTACCTGTATTCTATTGAATTTAAAATATAAATGCCACTCCTATAGTTTACTACACACACTATGCTAAATGTGTATTAGTACACACACTATGCTACATGTATATTAACATAAACACTATGCTGCATGTAGATTAGTACACAAATTAAGGTACATGTTGATTAGTACACAAAGGTACATGGATGTTTGCACACAAACAATGCTACCTGTTCACTTAGGGCCCCAAACTGTGGCAACTTCTTGAGGTCAACATAGTCCACAACCACTCCATGGTCCTCAAACTTTTTCACCGACAGGGTGCTGGATTCCTGAGTCCTCTGGGTGGCATCCATTGTCTGCGATTCTAATAAGTCTATATTGTAAAGAAAATATTAAGATTATTGTCTTGTTTCCATCTTTAATGTACAGTTACATCAGGGGTGACAAGTAGAACATGACAAGCTGATATAATAAGTCATAGATAGTTAGTTACATGACCAATGATGTAGCGAAATAGACTAAAATAGTACACAAAATTCATGGTAACAAGACAAATACAAAAACAATGTTATCTGAATGAAAAACTCCACAAATCTATTTGATAGTGATCAATGAAGTGTTAAAAGAGTTTGTTAAAATTTTTGTTTAGTTTTTTTGAGCATCTCCAGCTTTTCACAAACCGCTCTGTGCCAACCCTGATCTTATCTTTGCCAAAATTCACCTCTGCAGCTGCCATCCCCCACCCCACCCCACACTTTTCTCATTTGCATGTGGCTTTTTTATCTAACACTAGAACTGGAAAAGAAACAAGACATATCAGTGGTGGAGGGGCATACACATGAAAAGTGGGAGGGGGGGAACTATTATACAAAAATACCAGATGCCATCTTGAATGTAATTTTTCAGTCCTGTTAAAGGTAGAGGAACCTTATGCCCCCCCCCCCCCAAAAAAAAAAAAAAAAAAAAAAAAAAAAAAACAAAAAAAAAAAAAAACCACTCCCCCTCTCCTCGATCTGCTACAATGTAGGTGTAGTGTATGATGACACATATTTGCATTCCCAGCTTAGAGAGTGATAATCATTAGAAGTCCCATTATGTGACGGATGTCCTTAATCAAAAAGTAGAATTGACTTTGGGAGCGTGTTAAACAATATTTAAAGTAGCCTAAGGAGTGATTAGAATAAATTGGATGGCTATATATTTAGACATTTCAAGTTTTAATAGTTATTATTTAAGCAGAAGTTAAAGAAGACAACATGAGTTTGGGAGGGGTGGGGGAAGAGGGAGACCATTTAGATTTAAGACTCAGATAAAGTAGTAATTTGTTTAAAGTCAAAATTATGGCCAAGGGGGGGGGGGCATCTTCGGATCACTGACGGGGTTTTTTTTCGTTGAAGGGAGCTGCAAAAAGCTTAGCCCGCTCCTGGTGGCAGTAGCTCTAGCTCTAACTACGCCACTGCGGGGTTACTGTGGGAAGATATTAAAGTAACGTTTAAGTTTAAAGGGCGAGCGGGCAAAAACATAGGAAACATTTAAAAACGGGCGAGACGACAGAGTAGGCCTAACGAAAAGTGAGAAAGATAGTTCAGATAGTAATAATAGTAATATATTTATAATTATTAATTATAATTATATTGATAATATATTAATATTATTTAAAATATAATATTATTATTATATATAATTTATCATATTTTTTAGCATAAGCACTTCAAGCGGGTGAAATCACAAAGAGAATAATAGGGGATCATAAGAAGGAAATAGAGGACTAGCAATGACAAAGTTTATATCTACACAGAGATGTTACTTCATAACTATGAATTTGTTACCTGATATCCGATGCGTCGCTATGTGTAACAAAAGTTTGGTTTCCAAGATTCCAGGAATGACCTCACTGTCCTTACTAGCCCCTATGCTTACACGTACAGTACTATATTAGATCTTTTCACAGTCGGCTAAATTAAAATATATCGTCCGTCTTAACTTATCGAGATAAAATTCTTAAACATTGACGTTATTTAACGGGCTCTGTATGATGGCTCTGACTTGTAGAGCCCATCGAAACGATTCCAATCTAACACCAAGCGTACAGATCCGTCGGTTGTCAGTAGGTCATGGGGGTTCAACCTCTGAAGCTCATTTCTGGTTGGCTGTTATAAATAGAATATCGATTAGCCTCAGCCTCAGATTGTGTATACGGTGCACCGCAAAATCAAATTTATATAAGCGCATGGAATCATCTCTAATACTAGTTGGCTTACTGCTACACTTTTTGAGCTTTATCTACACTGACATAATGATAATAAGCATGTGATGGTCATATTGTGTAGGGCAAGAGAAGGAAATAAGATGATTTAGCAGTTTGATTTATCAGTGAAGGCAAGACAGTGTTAATCAGTGTACATCTTTGAAGGTGACAAACATGCGAATTAGATTAATAACTTCATTTTTTTAGAAAATGGATTGCATAATGTAGGAACTCTATATTATTTAAGATTTTACAGGATTTAAATTTAATTTGAATTAATTTTACCCCGTACATTGCCACCACCCTTTAATTGCCACCACCCTTACATTGCCACCACTCCCTACATTGCCTCCTAGCAGACAATAGGGGGGGGGGCGCAAAACACCACCATTCCCAATTCTATAATAAATCCATGTATTCCAATGCCAGTACCCACTACATTACCTCCACCCCCACATTGCTACCACCCCTACATTGTCACCACCCCCTACATTGCCACCAACCCTACATTGTCACCACCCCCTACATTGCCACCAACCCTACATTGCCACCACCCCCTACATTGTCACCGACCCTACATTGCCACCACCCCCTACATTGCCACCACCCCCTACATTGCCACCACCCCTACATTGCCACCACCCCCTACATTGCCACCACCCCTACATTGCCACCACCCCCTACATTGCCACCACCCCCTCATTGCCACCACCCCCTACATTGCCACCAACCCTACATTGCCACCACCCCCTACATTGCCACCACCCCCTACATTGCCACCACCCCTACATTGCCACCACCCCCTACATTGCCACCACCCCTACATTGCCACCACCCCCTACATTGCCACCACCCCCTCATTGCCACCACCCCCTACATTGCCACCAACCCTACATTGCCACCACCCCCTACATTGCCACCACCCCCTACATTGCCACCACCCCCACATTGCCACCACCCCCTACATTGCCACCACCCCTACATTGTCACCGACCCCTACATTGCCACCAACCCTACATCGCCACCACCCCCTACATTGCCACCACCCCCTACATTGCCACCACCCCCTACATTGCCACCACCCCATACATTGACACCACCCCCTACCTTGTCACCGACCCCTAGATTAAAAAAAAGGATCCCATAATGAAGGAACTCTTTTAATAATTGTAAAGCGCTTAGAGCTTTATGATAAGCGCTATATAAAAATGCCTAAATAAATAAATAAATAAATAAACTCTTTATTATTTAAGATTTTACAGGATTGAAATTTAATTTGAATTAAGTTTACAGGTAAATAGTTGTAAATTACAACTCTTGTCATTGAATAGTTAAATCCTCCCCCCCCCCCCCCCCCCCCCCGCCCCCCTTCTCCGGTTTGTGGACGCTCTTTTTATTGAATTACTATCTCTGCATACATTAATTTATAACAGAGCCCTGGTTATTCAGGGACATGCACAAACTGGATGGCGCCCAGGGGCGGCTTCTTCTGTCACTCCCGGGATGGGTCCTTCTTTCACTTCCGGAGAAGGTCCTGCTTTATTATTTTTTTTGTAATCTGTGATCGATCCTCTAATCTCATCTGTGAAATGTTCTTCTTTCAAAATTTGTTTTAGTAGGTCCTTCCTTTTCCCCCTGAGGTAGGTCCTTTTTTTCCTCATCTGGGGTAGGTCAACCTTTCAGTCCTGAAGAGGCCCCTTCTTTGAGTCCGACAAATGTCCTTGTTTCAGTCTTGGGGTAGGTCCGTCTTTCACATTTCGGGTAGGTCTTTTTCACATCCACTGCGTAGGTCATTCACTCTTTCCCTGGTTACACGATATTCTTTCATGCCCAGAGCTGGTCATTCCTTGAATATTTATAATCTTCAATTGGTAACGTTTACTGCTAAATTCATGCATTCCAATGCCAGCACCCACTACATTACCTCCACCCTACTTTGCTACAACCCTACATTGCCACCCCCGCCTACATCATCTTCTCATATAACTTATCATTTTCTCAAATAACTTATCATTTTGTTACCTATACATTTGTAGAAAAAGTTACCAATTCTTTTTAAATGCGCATTCATCTTTGGGGGTGTGCGTAGTTCGTGGGGGGGGGGGGGTAAATCTGATGCCGGGTATATTTTTTTGAGAGTTTTGAGATCTACGGCCCCCGTAGCTTTCCCATTTTATGATCAAAGTGTTATCATTTTGTTACCTATACATTTGTAGAAAAAGTTACCAATTCTTTTTAAATGCGCATTCATCTTTGGGGGTGTGCGTAGTTCGTGGGGGGGGGGGGTAAATCTGATGCCGGGTATATTTATTTGAGAGTTTTGAGATCTACGGCACACGTAGCTTTCCCATTTTATGATCAAAGTGTTAATCTTTTTAATGTGCACTACTATCAGCCAACTAGATAAATTTATATGCGAAATAACTTGAGTTGGATTGTGTTGGCCATATCTGTCTGGACTGTTGTTTTTGGTCCCTACATTTCTGGATTATGCTTATTGAGTTTAAGGAAGGTAATGTCGGAGTAGACATGTGGAGGATTGTACGAATACGTCTCATACAAATTGCCAAACTACTTAGAAAACTCATTGTCACAGCACTTCCTCAGCAAATTGTCCTAGTGCTGCTCAAATAAACTGTCCCATAACTGCGCTTAACAAATTTCTCATTCCAGGTCTGGAAAAATCAGAAGTGATTAGATTCGTTGGCATTTCTTCTCTCCCCCCCCCCCCCCCACACCCCCCACCCCCCTCCCGTGGGCTGAATGTTTGACCAAACAGCCCAGTTATTTTAATGACGCAGCCAATTAACATATCTTTATACTAATGGTCAACTGTCAACGTAATCCACAGATGCCAATTGTCAAACTATTTCACACCTCAGCTTTACTCCACTTCTCTCCACTGCCGATGCCATCCATCATCCTTCGTCTTCTAGCTGATGTTGCGCTACAGCCTGCCACTCGTGAGACCATAGACACTTAACCATGCCTCGTCTGTGTGGGCTCTCGGGGATTGCCCCCCCCCCCACCTACTTATGTTACAGAAGCCATTAGTATTAGCTTCCCAACAGAGATGAGACCCGCGTATATCACATTACACTTGATAGCATCTGATATCTCCGCGATGGGAGTGTCGGTAGGAAAATAATAATTCAAAACAGAAGTCAATGTTTTAAGTCGCCAGCTGATGCGCTACTAAACTTGTGATCATGGCGTGCCAAGAAAATGCGGCGCCCGGGGTGAAGACTGAAATGGTACCTCCACATACATAGGTAGAAGTGTGACCCGGGGTGGACCATGTAAAAAGACAATGTTAGAACCCTTTGACTTTGTGAAGTACATGGCATTTTGCTCTACTAAAGTCCTAAGTAAAGATGGGTCTCGCGCCCCCTGATGTTGGCACCCAGGGCAAGTGTCCCCTTCTCCCCCTTTACACGGGTTTGCCTGGGACGACACCATTAATGGCAATAATGAAAGAGCTTTGAGGTTTTAGCGAAAAGGCTCGAAGTTGTATACTGTATTTTTATTTTATAGAAGCGTAATGACCATCTGTTGGTCAATTTTTTTAATGAAACATTTTAAAATAAACCCTCAGACCAATCCCAAAGAAGCCAGCATATGGAGCTTGGGTTTATGTGTACATGCTGTCCAGTGTAGAAGTTGACACCCCAGTTCATGTGTAGAAATTGACACCCCAGTTACCAGTTCATGTGTTGAAATGGACAACTTAGTTCACGTGTAGAAATTGACAACCCAATTCATAAAAATAGTTAATGTGTTGAAATTGACACCCCAGTCCAGTGCAGAAATTGACACCCCAGTCCAGTGCAGAAATCGACACCCCCGTCCAGTGCAGACATTGACACCCCAGTCCAGTGCAGAAATCGACACCCCCGTCCAGTGCAGACATTGACACCCCAGTCCAGTGCAAAAATCGACACCCCCGTCCAGTGCAGAAATCGACACCCCAGTCCAGTGCAAATATCGACACCCCCGTCCAGTGCAGAAATCGACACCCCCGTCCAGTGCAGAAATTGACACCCCATTCCAGTGCATAAACCCAGTAAGGTGCAAAAAGGGGTCTTATTCAGTGCTGCGGTCCTCTTGTTTTTTGGGGGGTTTTTTTTGTAATGATGGACAACTCGGACTCCAATTTTATGAAATATTTGAGCTCCCTTGAACATTCAATGTTTAATCAAGAAGCGTTTAATAAGCGGTCACAGATGTTCAAAAGAGGGTTATGTGTTCCCGTGAACGGGGCGTGAGTTATTAGACGTATCTAAATTATTCAATCATTAGTTCCTTAAATAATTGCCATGAAATCGATATGGTTTAATAGAAATTATTTAAAAAAAACAACAACACATTACGCTACAAACCTGGCATTAGACATTGTAACTCACCAAATGACACATCCTACAACACACCAATATGTAATAATTATTGTCATCCGCAATAATACACAACTTATCACACATATTATCACAAGCCATATAACACACCATATCGCACATCACATCACACACCATATTACACACATTAAAACACACCATATGAGACATCACATGGCACAGCATGTAACATACCTTATAACACAATATATTACACATCTATCACACACAATATTACACACCTTATCACATCACATATCATGTTGTAGGTCATATGTCTATATTACATATTTTTTCCCTTCAAATTTACGTTTCTGAGTGTATAGGATATTTTTAAACACACATTAATGATATATATATATAAATTATGAACCAATAATAAATATATATAGAATAAAAGTAATAAAATAATTTTTAATCATATTTTAACAGAATTAAAATGTGAAATTTGACATTTCTTCTCACCAACAAGTTCCAAAAGTGTTTTCTTCCCAAATCT